GCAGGGCAGTTAGGGGCGACCAGACAGGCAGGCAGGTGAGCGATTAGGAGCCAGCAGTCCAGGATTGTGAGAGGGATGTCTGACTGCTGGTTTAGGCCTGATCCCCAGGGTCCTGGATTGAAGAGGATGCAGGCTGGGCTGAGGGGGACCCCCCCCTTCCCCGTGCATGAATTTCGTGCACCGGGCTTCTAGTATCTATAGAAACAGACCCTCTTGCTAAGAACCTATCAAGACAGTGTTTTTGTGAGGTTGGTAGAGGAAACTGCATATTGCTACTTTGATATGTTTTCTTGTTTGGCTTTTCATTAAGAGATGTTTAGTTCTTTGTTAGAAACTCCTATGTTATGTACAAAGAGAAGAAACAGTTCACTTAATTAATTGTAATCTTTAATTGAAATCTGTTATAGCCTAGTTCAGTGATGGCGAACCTATGACACACGTGTCAGAGGTGACATGCGAACTCATTTTTTTGGTTGATTTTTCTTTGTTAAATGGCATTTAAATATATAAAATAAATATCAAAAATATAAGTCTTTGTTTTACTATGGTTGCAGATATCAAAAAATTTCTATATGTGACACAGCACCAGAGTTAAGTTAGGGTTTTTCAAAATGCTGACATGCCGAGCTCAAAAGGTTTGCCATCACTGGCCTACTTTTAGGACAGTCCTAAAAGAGATTTGTGTAATTGAGGTTTTCCCTTAGTTCCAGTAGAAGGGAAGTATTTCAGTTCACTTACTTGAGGCTATAAAGTAATTTGTTCTTCCTTTCCCTACAGCAAGAATTATGAACATAAAGTCACTGAACAGATTCAGTGTTAATTTTTAAAGCTTCCCCATATTTCCACCCTCATCTGTTGTAAATAACATGTCTGACTATAAAATGGAAAAAGTTGAAATTTTCCACTGGTGCATTTTGAGCTTTTCAGAGGTATTATACACTCTGGAAATAATAATAAAAGATACTAGACTTTATACAGCGCTTTTTGTGTTAGGAACTCATATAAACACTGATGCATTGATCCTAACACAGTACTTGATTGTGACTTTAAAAGGTCATGAGTTACTGCTGTTACAACAAAAAAATAAAATAAAAGATTGGAGAGAGAGTTCTAATTTATAAATATTGTTTAAAAAATATCTAGATAAAAGTTGATACAGATAACTGGTAAAATAAAAATTATGGGGGATTTTTATTGTTTGTTAACTTTTCTCTTAGCCTGTAATAGATTTTTATCCCTTTATATTTTTTCTCCATTTATTTATGAATTTACTTGAAGCCTGATTTGATTCTCTTCTTAGATAAGAAGGCAAAATTACTTTTAAGCTTTTATTCCTTCTCTGCCAAGAAGGTTTAAACCTGTGGTGATTTTTGGAGTTTGTCACATTAACATAACAATGCATGTTATTAGTCCTAAATTGGGAGATTGTTCCTTTAGCTTTCTTAGTTTAATATTTGTTGATTTTGATGAATAAAGTGGTCATGTGGCTTCATCTTCAACTTTTTTGTGTTTTGTAGGTTTATTCTTCAGTCTAAGGAGGTAATTCACAATCAGCTGTTAGAGAAACAGAAAATAGCAGAGGAAAAAATTAAAGAATTGGAAGTAAGTTTTGAGTGAATATTGACAGTAAGTAGCCAACTTTTAGAAAATAGTAATTATCTCATTGTGTCATATTAAATGAAATGTATGCCTGCTAAAGTCATGCCATTATGTCATTTTTTTCTAATTGTGTTAGAGCTATGAAGCAGTCAAATTAATGGCAGTGTATAAGACACAAAAAAGTCTCTAGAAACTAGGGAATTTTGAAGAAGATAGGATGCTGTTATTCTGAGTGTATTTTCTCCTTTGCCATTGAATGAATATATCTGTTTTTAAAATACAAAAATAACACAACATATATTTAACCACTACATATTGTACCTGGTAGGGTATGAGCATGGCTAATGATAATACTAAAGGATCTTGATATACTAGTATGTCTCTTTTACACATTGTAATTACTTTAACATAGATTGGGTTCTAGACAAGGACTGATTATTAAGCTATAATTAATTAACTATCTGAAGGATAGTGCTCCGATGAGGAAAACATATTATTATTTTTTAGGTAGGGAAAATCATTAGTATAGGTAAAAGTAGCTTAGTAAATCTTTGGAAAATTTAAGTTTATTATTAAAATGTCCTTATACATTAAGACTTTTGATGAGATACTCTTCTTGGGCTTCGGTGAAAGGTGCATTCTGTTTATAGCAAAAGTTGGACTGGACAAAAAACTGGTTATTATTTCTTTGGGAACAAGATTTCCTGAGATGGGGTGGATACAATGACTTCATAGGTCACTTTATCTAATTTGTGTGAGTACCACTTGAGGCAGTGGTTCAGAATCTGACTCAGCCCTCTGCTGAATTGGTGAGACACCCGCTAGCCTTCTGGGGATTTCTCAGGGGCACTGACTTGGCGTGGCCTGGGTGAGCATGTAGTGTCTTAGGTTACTTAGGCTGATTTTTGTTTGACTACTGATGATAATTTAAACAAACTTGATAATAGTTTTGTAGTTTAGAAAGATGTATTGTGAAAACAAAACAAATAAGCAAGCAAACAAAACAAAAAAGAAAAAACTGTTTCCTGCAGTAATCAGGTTGTTATTGTGTCCTGTTTTATCATTTTTGTCAGCCAATTGTTCTAGATAGAATTTTATATTCTTTAGGGTTTTCAAACAAAAGTACTGTATCTTAACTCCAATCACAACTGTTTCATGTAGATAAAAAATGTGATTTTGCAACTGTAGGCAAATATATCTAAAAATTGTCCTGATGAATAAGTAGGAAGATGCAAAATAATGTGTATATAATTCTCTTATGATCTCTGTGTTGGATAAATTGTAACAAGTATGTGTTAACTTTTATAATTTAACAAATTGTCAAGGAAAAATTGCCACAGATGATTATTTTAGCATACTATCAGTTCTAATGAGTAGTAGGAAATTTATTTTCTAAACATTTCTTTCATAGAATCTCACATACTAAGTATCCTGATATCTGTCAGATAATAGAAGTAGATTAGCTGGCTTGTTGGTACCTGTTTGAAATGCTAATTATAGCTATAAAAAACTAGCAGATAAACTCTAGCCTCTACCCTAGGAAGTTATTTTCTCTTTAATCTTTCATTTTACTGTTATTTATATTATAAAAGCAATATAAGTGCATTATAGAAATGAAAAACAGTCAGAAAAGAAAACAAATGATAAAATGAAAATATAACCTTCCCCTCTTCCCTGCACACTCCCATATGTCACCTCTGCAGTAGTGTGTATCATTCCAAACTTTATTTGATAAACACATTCATACACATATATATGCACTTTTAAAAAAAATAATGAGCAATCTGTATAGTTCATCATTTGATAACTTTCTACTTTAGTGATATCAATTTAGTTTATATGTAATAAAATTTAAAAATTTTTTAAATGATTTCAGAAAGGAGGGAGGGAAGAGAGAGAGAGAGAGAGAGAGAGAGAGAGAGAAACATCAATGATGAGAGAGAATCATTGATCGGCTGCCTCCTGCATGCCCTCCTACTGGGAATTGAACCCACTACCTGAGCATGTGCCCTGACTAGGAGTTCAACCATGACCTCCTGGTTCATAGGTTGATACTCAATCACTGAGCCACACTGGCTGGGCTATATTTAATTTCTTGTTTTCCATTTCTCCTACCATTGTAGGTTCCTTATTACCTCAACATTCAATTATTCTATGATCCCTACCTCTACATTTTGTATACTCTCCAATACTGCCCTATCATGTATTGTTAATAGTATCACCCAGTACATACTCTGTCTTCCCTGAAACAATCCTGTACTTTTCCACTGCTATACCTTTTGTTACTTAAGACTGAAATATATGCATATGTACACACCCACATGTGCATTCATACACACAAACATTGGTAATTATAGTGTTCAGATTTTCTTTCGCTTATTTAGTTTAGTTAGTTATTTAGAGAGATGTATTAAATCTCCCTCTATGATGGTGTTTATCAATTCCTCCTTAGTCTTTCAGTTTAGTGGGCAATGGTATTTAGAGACTATTATCTGGGTGCTGTAAGTGCTCATTATTACTGTGCACATAGTTCAGAGGGTATGTTTCATTTTGCTTTATATGTTTAGGAATATCTCAGCTTTCTTAAAGATAACATTCCACTGACTTCTGGCTTCCATTGTTGCTATTGAGAAGTTATTTATCAGTCTAAGTGTTGTTCCTTTGTTTATTTTCTCTCTGGCTACTTTTAATGTTCTCTCTTTTTCTTTAAAAATAAATCTTTATTGTTGAAAATATTACAGATGCCCCCTCCTTCCCCCTCTATTGACCCCCCTCTCTCTTTTTCTTTAATGCTTTGTAGTTTCTCTGGGATATGAATTTAGTCTTTTTATTTTTTTCCTTTGTCCTACTTGGATTAAGTTGAGTTTTCTGAATCTGAGGAGTAGTGTCTTCCATCAATTCTGGAAAGTTCTTATTATCTCTGAATATTACTTTCCTGTTTTCTCTATTAAATGGTATTTTCTTCAGGAATTTTTCCTCCCACCTTTAAACCAGCTACCCCCACATCTGCAGTAGATTCTTTTTTAAAAAAATACATGTTTTATTGATTTTTTACAGAGAAGAATGGAGAAGGATAGAGAGCTAGAAACATCGATGAGAGAGAAACATTGGTCAGCTGCCTTCTGCACACTCCCCACTGGGTATGTGCCCGCAACCAAGGTACATGCCCTTGACCGGAATCGAACCTGGGACCCTTGAGTCCGCAGGCCGACGCTCTATCCACTGAGCCAAACCGGTCAGGGCTGCAGTAGATTCTTAACTGGTTTTTCCATCTCCAGCTTTCCCCCTTCCAGTCCTTTTAACATATTTAGATTAGAATGAGTTGGAGGGGTTCATCCTTCCTTGGCTCTTTTTCTTTTTCTTTTTTTAAAAATATATTTTTATTGATTTCAGAGAGGAAGGGAGAGGGAGGGAGAGAGAGAAAGAAACATCAATGATGAGAGAATCATTGATTGGCTGCCTCCTGCATGCCCCACACTGAGGATTGAGCCAGCAACCCAGGCATGTGCCCTGACTGGGAATCGAACCGTGACCTCCTGGTTCATAGGTTGAAGCTCAACCACTGAGCCATGCTGGCTGGGCCCTTCCATGGTGCTTGTCACTATCCTGAGAAAAAATTCAGATGAGTGACAGAAAGCAGTGTTGAAACAAAGCAAGTGAATTTATTAAGGAAGCAAAAAGCAAGCAGATTTATTAAGAATACACTAGGCATAAAGCATAAGCGGGCAACTCAGATAGTTTGAATGCCACACCTGGTAGGGGTTCAAGTTCCCCCCAATAGGTTTCAAGGTTCCCTTGCCAGGTGGACTAGATTTTAAGGTTCTCCTTTTACATTGTTGTGGCTTTTCCCAGAATTTATGAGAACATCTGGTGATTTTATCTTGGAAGTACCAAGACTGCTGACTTCTTTGTTCAGTAGGTGAAATAAACTCCCCCCTTAACCCCTTTCCCTTCCTCCTGCCCTAGCAGCTATCTATCCTGCCTTACATTTATCCCAACCAACCAGATGCTTTGGGGGTTTTTGTTATTTGTCCCCGAGTCTTCATCTGTCCTTGGGTTTATTTGGCACAAATGCCATTAATTGGATCTTTGTTCTCTTATTTTTCCAGGCCAGGGTGATTTAAGCTATATATTTTCTGTCAGGGAGGAGAGGTGAATCATTTGCTCTAAGTGCCCTTGGTTGGGAAAGATAAAGTCTTGTAATTCACAAGCTGGCTGCAGACTGCCCCAACTGTTTGGCCTTGTTTAATTTTCTTGTCTCAGTTTCCCCATTCCACTTGTCCAGGAATTTTCCTAGCTTCTTACTATCCTGGCACAATATCACTCCTCTTTGTAAAACCCATCATTGTTTTTAGAGTAAAAGTTCAAACTTAAATATACCTTTAAGTTTCTTTATGAAATTACTCCTATTTATTTTTCTCATCTCTCTCATTCCTTTGCTTTCTCTTACACTGTATGCTTCAGCCATGCAGAAATATTCTGTTTTTAGAACTTGCTGTGCTTTCTATGCTTCTACTAGGTCTTTGTAAAAGTAGTTCCCTCTAACTGGGAACTTCTTCCTGCCCTTACCACCAGCTCCATCTCTTAATCTTTAGGATCTTAGTTTAGGGCTATTTCTCTTGAGTATCGTTTTCTGATTCCTCAATTTTAAATTGGGTGCTTTTTCCTTTTTCTCCCTAGTTTCATAGCACAATGTGGGAATTTGGGCATTTGAGCTATTACTAGTTGAAATAATTACAACTATGGTTTCCTATTACTTTGTGAAACTAGATATAGATTCAGAGCTCTAAATAGTTTTTCCCAAAGCATACCAATTGTTGTTCCTCCTTTCAAATATGCAGTCTCTTCTTCTGGGCCCCAGTATTTTTGCCAGTCTAACCTGTTTTGTCTTAATCCTGTTTAGTTATCATTAGCATGTTAATTTCTGCCCTCAGATTCCTTACAATTAAATTGGGAGGCATGCCCGGCTGGTGTGGTTCAGTGGTTGAGCACTGACACATGCA